CCTTCTGCTGACTTACCTGTTCCCTCCCCTGCCCGCCTCTTTAAATGAAAGAAATCAAAATAGAGACATACACACACCAACCCACCCACAACGATTCGATAAAAATGGCATCATCCCTGGAAAGTGAAGGCAAAAAGTGACACCAATACCTTTCAGCGAAGCCAGGTGTGTCAGCTTCTATGAATGCTAAGGGTTTAAGTGCACAGGAAGCATGTCATCATTATGAGATTACTGAAGCAGCCCAGTACGTATTCATTGTCAATGAGCTGTCACTGGATAAAAGCTCAGCCAGGAAAGACATAAAAACAGGAAAGACAAACTCAAATCTGTGACCAGCTGCTTCCAGGTACATTCCTGAGTGCAGCTGCAAGAAGGCAATCTAGAATCTTTTCTGCAAGGCAGGAGAACTTGTAAGCAGTCCCTCTGATCAATCAGTCTGCAGATTTATAGTCTCTCTGTCTACCCATCCTTCAGACACAGGCGACAGGGTGAAGCAGTCTTAACTTAGTGTCTCTGTTCAGAACTAGCTTGCAAAAATCCAAGTAGAAACAGAAGCAGCCTGTAGCTGTGATATGTAGATGTACCTTCAAAGCCTTTTATGATTCACTCTAAAATGTTTCTAGTAATTACTTCTGTTTTAAAGGCGTTAGTTAATTGCATTGTGTGTAGAACCTGCGCCGTAATTGTCCTTCAGAAAGAGGGAGAGCACAGCCAGTAAAGATTGCTTATTAAAATTAAGCTCACTGTGGGCGTTTATTTCAAAGTGTAATTACTGAAATAAACAGTTGTGTTTATTGCAGGGTGCAGAGTTACACATACAGACGGGTACAAACATGCCTGTATGAGAAGCTCTGCTTGTTCATTTTATGTCAGTTGCCTGAGAGAATTTGCAGGATCCTCTATGTTACACACAATATAAAGACCACTACCGATACAAAGATGGTGTTACCCTGAGGGAAGAACAAAACCTCTTGAAATCGTTAGTGCTAATCATTCAAACTTTGTATGCAGAACACCATTCCCTGGTAACTTCAGTCCTTATCACTTCTGCAGTATCTGTGTTCTGAGCAGCAGCACTCACGGGAGACTCAGTCCACTCTAACCGTGGAATGAGAAGAAATACAATGTTTGAAAGTAATTTAAAAGCATATAAACAGTTTCCAAAGCACTATTTCCCCCCTTGTTAATGATCCAGCATAATTGTTGTAAACATCACAGAGCAGATTCCCTAGACTGAGAACAAGCAGGAAACATTTCTTCCCTTGGGGCATTTTTTCTCTTCTAAAAGGTATGTCCCTGAGAAGGATAGAGAATAAAATTGCTTCTTCTACCACAACTGCTGAAGTGCAGATCATAATTATTTCTTTATGCTGTGGTAATACCCAGAGATACCATCAGCGCTTGAGGCCCTCGTGTTGGGGTACACAACAGTAAAGAGATGTCCTGTAAAGATTACAGCCTACCTTAACTTCTCCAAAACATAGCTTGTTAATGGAAATATGAATGGCTAAGGAAAGCTTTCCATTCTGAATCTCAATGTTTATTATTCTGTGCATTCCACAGATCGTGTGCAGGTTGGCTGTCGGGAACTGCGATCCACCAAGTACATTTCAGATGGCCAGTGCACCAGCATCAATCCACTGAAGGAGCTGGTATGTGCTGGTGAATGCCTCCCTTTGCCACTGCTCCCCAACTGGATTGGAGGAGGTTATGGAACCAAGTACTGGAGCAGGCGGAGCTCACAAGAGTGGAGATGTGTCAATGACAAAACTCGCACTCAGAGGATCCAGCTTCAGTGCCAGGATGGAAGTATCAGAACCTACAAAATAACTGTGGTCACAGCCTGCAAGTGCAAGAGATATACCAGGCAGCACAATGAGTCCAGCCACAACTTCGAGGGAACCTCTCAAGCAAAACCTATTCAGCATCACAAAGAGAGGAAAAGAGCCAGTAAATCCAGCAAACATAGTACAAGTTAGAAGTCAGATATCCTGTCTCATCTCCCTCTTGTCCTGCCAAAATTGAACTCACCTGTAGCCAATTACTTTACCATTCTGACTGCTTAAAGACAAGTCTGCCATTGCTGTGGTCTCAATTGACACTATATGCTTATTGCTTTGACCAAAATCAAAAGGGGCATTCTCAGCATATGGACCTTTCGGGTGATCTGCCAAATGCTCAAGATGGGAATAACACAAGTCTTCCAAACCCACATGATAAACTTTTACATTTCCTCCAGCCATGGAGGCAAAGAAAATTTGCCATGAATATTCACTGAAGTCTATTTTGTAAAAAGATGCTTTGTTGTGTGCTTTCATGAGAACAGTTATTATGTCTATTGCCTTCTATATAATGTTTTATGAACTTATGACTTATGAAACAGCTTAAAAATATACCACCTAGTATCTGCTTTCAGATTCATTCTTAAAAAATGCCTTGCATGCTCACTTTTCTTTTATTTCAGTATACCAAAAATTAAAATATGCATGGCAGCAATCAAAAAGTAAAGCTGAACAAACTATTTATTTGTTGTTGTAATTATTTAATGAGCTTTTATGTGTGTTATTTCCTTCCAAAATGTTATTATGTTTATAGCTTTTCTCATGTATCAAAGTATTTTCCTATGATTTGTGGCTGGTTTAGAACGTATATTTTGTAGATAATGTAAAATAGACATTTTAGCATTCTTGGTATATATTTTTTCATTTTGAACATTCATAAACCTAGGTGTTGTTTTGAAGTAGCAACATAAAACCTGTATTTTTCACTCTCCACTCTGTATTATTTTTGTTTAAAAGTGTGCAATCACAAGACATACAATGACTTTCTTTCAAATTGTTTTTTGATTATTTTTTTTTTTTACAAAAATAAACACTGCTAAAAAACCATATTGTTGGGCTCAGTGTATTTAAATTGGACATATTTTACTGGTCTCAACATTTAATCTTAAAAAGTGGAAGAACATTATTTGGTGTGTTATTTCCTTCCAAAATGTTATTATGTTTATAGCTTTTCTCATGTATCAAAGTATTTTCCTATGATTTGTGGCTGGTTTAGAACGTATATTTTGTAGATAATGTAAAATAGACATTTTAGCATTCTTGGTATATATTTTTTCATTTTGAACATTCATAAACCTAGGTGTTGTTTTGAAGTAGCAACATAAAACCTGTATTTTTCACTCTCCACTCTGTATTATTTTTGTTTAAAAGTGTGCAATCACAAGACATACAATGACTTTCTTTCAAATTGTTTTTTGATTATTTTTTTTTTTTTACAAAAATAAACACTGCTAAAAAACCATATTGTTGGGCTCAGTGTATGTAAATGGACATATTTTACTAGGTCTCAACATTTAATCTTAAAAAGTGGAAGAACATTATTTGGTTAGAAAAAATATCTATCAATAGTATTTAACATTAAAGCAATCATTTTATGGGTTCTTTATGGATCTAAAAATCTTACATGGCCATTTAACAGATGGTGCTTATTAATGGTCCAAGCCAGGATCTTAATTAGTAATTCTCAAGTTGTACATTGCAGAAGTGGTATATACTTGGGAAGTTTTACAAGCTAGTAAGACACCACAATTTTTTATTTTCTTTTCATTAGTAATGACTAAGTCAAAGATTAATGGTAAAAATAACATGCAGTTTCATCTTCCCCATAGATCAAAAAAGAGTCCTGCACATTATCTACAAATTCTTACAGAATGGATCGGGAAATATATAGTAAGCAATCTACTTTTAAACATATAGTCCTTGAATCACCAATTCTTAATCTTTCAAATGATATTGAAATACTTTAGGTAAGACTTCATCATGGGATTCTGCTGTTCTTGAATAATTAACTTTTACAACCCATTTGCAACCAAAGAAGAGATTCTACAAGAAGAGAGTAATGAAAAGTCTTGCCTGATAAGGTGTCACACAAGTTCTCTTTGACCTCTTTATATCATTCCATCTTCCATTTTGGTTCCAAAAGATTGATCATTAACGTAGAACTGTTTGAAAATCACTGCTACTGCTTGATTTACTGAATCCTAAATTTTATGGCCATAATGTAATGATTTTTACTCCAAGCTGTTTTCAAGAATTCTCTTTAAAATCTCTTACATGTAAGAAAGGTATCTACTTTTATAAATAATTTAGTTAAAAGTTATCTACATGGTGATACAGTTTAAAAACACTGCATTAATGACCTAGTTGTTTCAGGTTTAGCTTTTTGGTCATGAAAATATCAGAACTGTGAGACAGGACACAATTTTATACTTATCTTAAAGATCTTAAAGGTGGTGCTTTCAAGCCTAAGATAGATGATGAATATAGGAGTTAGCAGTGAGAGAGATGAGATGATGTTGCTCCAAGGCATTTCAGTCCAGTGGACTTTCAGATATCCTAGCTTTTTATTTTAACAGACACTATAGTCTCATTTAATCTGTTTTATGGAGGAAAGACTGTTGTCAAATGTCTATAAATTTTTAAATGGTTCTCCAGCTACTTCTTTAAAATGATAAAGCACAAAAGATTGAGACATGGACCAAAATTTAACCAAAATTATTTTCACAGCCAATAGTCAATACACATCAGTAATGTTGCCTTGTATGTTTGACTCCCAGAAACAAGAATGGTGAAAAAACCCCACACCCTTAATGCTCATGTCTCTTCTACAGTCAGTGAAGTTTTACTGTAGGAACAACATGCATATTCAATAAGAATTTGCATATAGCAATAGAAATCAAAACTCCTAGTTTGTCTTTTCACACAGAACCAACTGAGGGAGAATATTTTGGCACATTTCCATTCAGATGCCTTAATGAAGGTGCCATCTCTAAGTCTGGAATATTTGAGGGAACATGAGGGCAGCCACTAAGAGCTTTGCCCATCAGCAGCAACTTAACTTTGAACTGCCACCTGAGTTAGCTATGGTCTTTTCTTTGGCCCTAACTTTGCCCTTCTGTCTGGAATATCTGAAGGAAAATGGTCTCAGAAATACGTCAATTCTGAATTTTCTTGAGTAACAATGTTACTCTTTGTGACTCATCTCCTAGTTCTGAATGCTGGCCTATACAATCTGCCTTCTATTTCACCGTCACATGTGAACTCACAGGAGTCTATCCAAGGATTCAGACAAAAGGTATTATACAAGTTTTTTCTAGTTTTTCCAACTAGTTTTTTCTATATGGAGAGTCTCCAGCATGTAAAGTTGCAGTGGGTAGGATATGGGCCATTGCTTTTCCATCTATAGTGGAGAATCTTGCCAAAGTTTCTCAAAGATTCAATGAAAAATATAGTACTGCTTAAACTGATATAATTTTAAACATCATACTCCTTCACTTGTTTGTTTAAAAGTTAAAAAGGAAAGAAAAACATGCTAGAATTTTCTTAGTTTTTACCTGGACTATTAAGTCAAATACATAAAAGAAGCATGTAAATGTTTTTTAAAAGTACAGTATACAGTTAGATCAGGTAAGTTTTCTACATAAATCAGATCACTGAATAGTCTAGATTTATTACACTAAAAATATATAGAAGCTGACTTTTTCAATAATATCATGTCATATGGGCAGATCACTAAGTCCACAGGCTTCCTAGAAACATCTTAAAACAAACATAATTTTTTATGTTCTCACACTTCTTTAGAAAACTAAAAGTGAATAAATTAAAAATAATCTGTTAATTTACCGTCATTATTTTATTACTTTTGAGTTGATGAAAACTGTCCCCAGCTAGGGGGTAAATTGTTTTATAATGAATGGAAATCAATTTTCCTTAGACATCACTAGAAACAAACTAAGCCAGATGCTGCTTGTTTTGATAGCATGGTACCACTCAGGGGCACACTGTGTGGAGGCAGTGGTAGCTGGTGTATATCATTAAGACATTATCAACTGTGGGAGTCAGAAGGACCTGGGATTTCCAGTCTAGACCAGAAAGGTCCTTGAGAAGTTTCTTTATTCAGTTTTTTAGTAATAGTAACAAATCTGTTGCTCTCTCCCGTACAGCAGCCTTGGAATCAAAACCACCCAACACTAGTTAATTCATTTGCTTGGAAATAAAGCAGACATTGGAATAACACCCTTCAGAATATCCAAGAGATTTCTGCTAGTAAATCACTGTAGTGCTCTTAACCTTGACCTTTATATCCTTCCAAAGATGTACAGCATTAATCAAGGAACATGTCCACAAGACATTCCACTGTGAGAGTCTTGTTGCTACAGTATTAACCTGGAGGTGTTTAGTGGAAAATTATATGGAATCCTTAGTGTTGGAAAGTATCCTATTCTTGTGATGCATTTCCTTTCCCGTAGGCCAAGCAAGGGGCTTTGATTTTAAGTTCATTGACATACATAGAAACGTGGCTCCAGGGTAAAACCAAAAATTGTCTAGAGATTTATGAGTTAAGCAGACATTCTGTCACTGGGTTTGTTAATTCTACCCAAACGTCGTCCCTCAACAAAAAGCCTGCCCATGCATCTTTCTGAAAGACATCCAGCCTTTCAGCTCATTCATCGTATTAGCTATGTGGACTGACACACCAGAAAGGTGTGATTTACAGGTGATACTGCCTGCCGCTGAGCTAATAACCAAACATCTAATTACTTCAGTACTTCCATGACAAGAAAATACTTTTTATTCTTAAATGATGCTCACCAAACTACACACCACGAAAACAACTAGTCTCTATTAATTGCTGAGAAAAATTTCTATAAACACTGGACTGTAACTACATTTGGGGAACTTCTTTTTTTTAACTCACTTTGGTTTGACAACATATTATAGTGGATGAAGTACTGTTACATTGCCTAGCTGGAATTCAGGCCTTCTTAATGCCTCTGTACAACCTTAAAGAAATACACAGGATGTCTGAATATAAATGAAAATCAAGACCATGACTTTAATAGTGCTGTTTGAGGAATATGGTACTTCATTAATGTAAAAGAAAACAAAAAAAATTCAGCTCCCTGAAAGAGGCCTGAACCAGAATACACTGCAACATTAACATAGTTCTATTTGCTAAATCCCAAAGACAACTGCTGTCAAAAAATGACCTTTTTCCCCATCCACTTAAATAAAAAAAAATCACCTAAAAATATTTTGTTGAACTCTGTCTATTTCTTGTCCCCTGCCCTAGATCTACATTAGTATATTATTGTCTCACTATCTAAAACTTTAGCTGTTCCGAATTAGAATTATTACTAATTACTTGCTTTTTGATACAGAAATATTTTAAATTTCTTTTTAGAATGGCTGGATGCATAGGTTTTTAATTTTGACTACTAAGAGGAAAAGTCATGCTCTGACTTGACCTAGGAGTTCCACGTTCGTTTTGTTAGCCCCTGTGAGAAGAGACTTACTGAGGAAACTGGAAAGAAACTTACTAAAAGCATAAACCAGTCTGTGAAGTCTGGTGCTTTGGTGGGCTACAGAAGAGCTAACCAGGCACAATCATTAAAGTTATTTTATATGAAACAGTGGAGAGTTGAGGGAGAGGGCCTAAGGAGACAAGTACTTACCTAGCCTTACCACAAGAACAAGCTCTGAGAAATGGAGGGACTATGCAGAGCTTTAAAAGAGACTCTGTAGCACAAAGACTTTGTTTTAATTGCAGCTAAAGCAAGTTTAAACATCTGCTACTTGTTAGATGATTATTTTATTTATTTACTTATTTATTTATTCATTTACTTTTGGGATGGGTTGAAGAAAGCTCTTTTACATTCCCTATGGCCATTAAGCTGGGATGGAGAACAGAGGTCTGATTGTTTCTAAAATGTAAAGCTGCAAAAATTTTGGGCTTAGCAAGGATCACTC